TACGAGGACAGGCTGAGGGAACTGGATTTATTTAGTCTAGAGAAGAGAAGACTGAGGTGGGATTTAATAGCAGCCTTCAACTACCTGAAGGAGGGTTTGAAAGAGGATAGCTAGACTGTTTGTAGTGGTGGCAGATGACAGACCAAGGAGCAGTGGACTCAAGTTGCAGGAAGGGAAGTTTAAGTTAGATATTAGGAAGAATTTTCTCACTAGGAGGGTAGTAAAATACTGGAACAGGTTACCCAGAGAGGTGGTGGAAGCTCCATCCTTGGGGTAAGACCTGGCTAGACAAAGCTTTGGTTGGGATGATCTAGTTGGGGATGGTCCTGCTTTGAGCAGGGGGTTGGCTTTGACCTCCTGAGTTCCCTTCCAATTCTCATTTTATATGATTCTGTGATTCTTCAGGACTTTAACCTGTGGTTGTACATGGAGTTACATGCTGTTACCTCTGTGACATTGTACTCATTACCCATACCTTTCATCTCCTGACCCGCCCCAATAAAGCGGTAAGCAGTATTGGTGCTGTCACCCTCAAAGAAATTGCCAAGAGGGACATCACCAGGCTGCCATGCAACAAAGACACAATCACATTCCAGAGCCGGTCATTAGAGGGAGAATTTTAGCAGGATGGCCAGGACTTTGTCTCTCTGAAGACCCATACCCTGAGGAGGTACATCAGTTGTTGCTGACCATGTTGCAAGGAATGCCAGGAACTGGGGGATTATAGTAACTTGATCCAGATGGTTGAAAAAGATGGATTTAATACATCTGCTGAGACTATTGGTGCAACATTGAGTGGAATTCACTGTTCTGCCCATACTCTGCAGCTTGCAGTTGAAGATTCACTGAAGGAACAATATAATCTCTAACATAATTCATAAAGCTCAATGTGTATGTAAAATATTAAGAAGCCCAACAATATTGGTAATAATTAAGAAATTAAAGTCAAAACACCCACTCACAGATTGTCTTACCAGATGGCATTCAACTTATGACATAACTGAGCTCAGGGATTTCTGGCAGGACATGGCCACCTCAAGTCATGAGCTTCATCTGACAGAAGCAAAATGGAATGCCATTGAAAACATAAAGCCTGCTAAAGTAACAGCAGAGATTCTTCAGTATGAAAAACTAACAGTGGATGACTTGTGGTGCTTGGTTAAAATGCCAACTGGAAACTGCAGAAGTCTCATTCCCTGTATCTCAGGCCTTACTGGCTTCCATGAAAAAGTGAGAAAAAAGTCAGCTTGAAATGATATATTTTTGTCATGTATATGCCTTGATTCCAGATATCAAATCCTTCTGTCAGAAGAAGGGAAAATTAAGGCAACACTTAATTTAACCAATATATAGACAGAAAGGGAAATGCTTCATTCAGAAGTAGTTGAAGTCAATTATATAGAATCGAAGAAATGCATGTCTGAAAGTGAAAGACCGGATGATGAACTGAACTCTCTTATTCAAGCTTGTGAAATATCCAGAGAGGAAAAAGAGATCTGAACAAAAGAAACCTCCCAGAAAGATAGTTATGTTTCGATGAGCTATGTCTCAGTAAGAAGGAAGAGATATTAAAATACTGGCAACTTCAGAAAAATGCCATGTCTGAACTATATCAACTGGCAAAATTTGTCACGGCACTTCCAGCAATACAAGTAAGTGGAGATAGAACACATTTAAAGCTTGAAAATGTTCTATCAGCACAGAGGTCCAATATGACAAAGCAGATATTAGAAGACATTTTAGTTTGCTCAACCAAATTTCTTCTATGGTATACATGAACAAAAATCTGATTTGAACCAGTTCAAACTGGTAACTGGACCACTGGGGTTTATTTATTTATTTATTTTTCTTTTGGGGGGCTTGAACCAGAACTAAACCTGAACCGACTGAATGCATTTGAACCAAACTCAAATAAATACGTGTTTGATTCCCTAGCCCCAACTCCATATGGTAAAGCATCACAGGTAAGTAAAAGTGTCTTTTTCATGTCCTAATGGGCTAGCAGACCATTGAATGAAACTGCTTCACATCATTGAAGGCCTTGTCATGACATTTAGTCCATTTTCATGTTGCATCCTTGTCCAGTAGATGATACAAAGGCTCAGCAACTGTAGTTTTGTCTTTTAAAAAGGAATTGTAAAAATTAAGCAACCCTAGGAATGGTTGCAGTTTCTGCTTATTCAAATCTAGGGCAGAGGTTTTCAGCCTTGTTTAACAAGTGTACTTCTGCCTCAAAGTTTCAGTTTATGTACCCCTTTATATTTTTTTCTTTTTTTTTGAAGTGGGGGTACAGATTGAGGCCCCCATAGTGAGGGAGGGAGCACGGGACAGAGTCGTGAGAACAGCTCATCTGGGGGGCGTAGGGAGGGGGTGGGGGCAGCTCCTGCCACTACACGCACCCTGGCAGAGGTCTGGGGGGCATGTGCCCCCTAGACCTGTGCATGGGGTGGAGGCTGCTGCTGTGGCAGGCTGGACTCTGCACCCCACTGCCACTGTCCCAAGAGCCACATGATGCCATGTGCTTGCTGCTGATGGGTAGGCAGGGGACAGACACAAAAGCAGGCAGACACAGACACACTTGCACATGCAGACACGCATGCACACAGACACATACACACACACACGCAGACATATGCACGCACCCCCCCAGAGATAGATTCATAGATTGTAAGGCCATAAGGGACCTTGGAAGATCATTGGGTCCAGCCCCCTGCACCAATCAGGAAAGACAACTTGGGGGGGGGGGGTCAAGGAGCTGGTTTACACCAGTAATCTGAGATGAATGTTTCTCTAGTGCTTTGTTTATTGTACACTTGTAGTCAGTACATACTTGAATGGCACTGTAGCAGGTCTGGGGCCTCAGGAGGGTCTGTGATGTCTCCAGGTGGCCATGTTGCCCTTGCTTCACTCCAGCTCTCACCGTGGCTGCATACCAAAACTGAGATCTTTACCAGCCTTCAGTTAATTGTTTTTAGTCCCCAGAACAGGCAGATCCCAGTCGGTCCCTCCACCATAGTCCTCTCAGTATAGAGCTCCTTCCCTGATGGCCCACAGCCCCAAACTGATCCCCAGCCTCTCCCAGAGCTAATATATTTCCTAAGCCCTACTTCTTTGGGTCATGTGCCTTCTTAGGTCAGCTGTAGATATTTTCCGTTAGGTTTACTGGCAGACCTAACTTCTGTGACTGTTCCTTTCTTACCTAAACTGGGCTCTGATCTATTGTACTATTGCTGTGCCACTAGCACTGCAATAGGTGCTGTGCTGCTTAGGCAGGCCTTGTCATATTGTCCTATTGCATGGCCACTTGTGCTGCAGAAGGCACTTGTAGCCTATTAATTCCCCATGACTAGTCTTTCACAGCCCCTGGTGGGCAGCTCCCTTCACCCATGGAACAAATCAGCGTTCATTACTTCAGTAAATATGGGGCTTGGACGGGTCACTGCTACAGATTTCCCCCCCGCCCCCCCGGCCCCTTTAAGTTGGTGGACACACTTACTGCCTTTTGACCCATGCACTTTTGTGCCTGACTTTGTTTTCTCCTCATCTTTGCGTGATAGAAAGTCAGCCACAATGTTTCTCTTGCCAGGCTGGTGTTGCACTGTAAAACAGAAAGGTGGTAGAGCCAGTGCCCATGTAGTGATATGTACATTTTCTGTCTTTGCCAACTGGAGCCACTTGTGCAGAATGTGGTCCATGACCAGAAGAAATAATCTTCCCCAACAGGTAGTAGCAGAAAAGGTCTACCACCTATTTAATTGCTAAGCCCTCCCACTCTATTATAGGATACTTCTGTTCATATTCTAAAAATGTACAACTAGTGTATGCAATCGGGTGCTCAGTTCCCTTCTTTTCCTGAATTAATATGACCCCTAGGGTCACACCTGATATGTCTATCTGTAAAATAAAGGTTTGGTCAAAGTTTGGCATGTGTACGGTTGGTTTTTGGCATACAGCTTGCTTTATTTGCTCAAATGCGCCCTGAGCCACCGAGTTCCATTTGATCTTGCAGGACACATAGGACTTAGTCAAGGCCATTAGAGGTGCCACTATTTCTGAGAAATGAGGGATGAACTTACGATAATAATTTGCAAGTCCCACAAAGGATCTGACTTTTGTGTGTGTGTGTGTGGGGGGGTTGTTATAGGCTGTTTATCGTCTCTTAAAGCCTGTATTTTGTTTAAAGATAAAGCACCTAAAGTTAGGTGCTTTATCTTTCCTTGACCAACTTGGAAGCCCAAATACTGGGTCTCTTTTTGAGCGAGCGTACATTTGACAGGGTTAACTGTCAAGTCCTTGATCTGGGTCCTGCATTCTGGTGGGGAAATGTGGCATAGGCCAGTGCCAGGGCCAGTGTTCCTCCCCTCTGAGGCTGGTACTCTCTTATATCAGAAGTGCTGGGCTGGGCTGGGCTGGGCCATCCTGGATCTCTGCCTGCCCCCACGTGCCCTGTGCTCACTGCCAGAGGTGTTGAGAGCCCCAGACTGGCTCATCAGCTCCTGTATCTGTATGAATCAATCCCTCAGTAGAGACAAGACTTCCTACATGTTTCCTAGCAGCATATAGCTGAGGATCTTTAGTATCAGTGCTTCAGCTGGGTCCAAACCACTTACACAGAATCACTCCTAAGAGTGAGTTTGAATTCTCCTTCTTTCTCATATTTGACTGTGTATTACACTGTGAAAGGCCATGGTAGGTCTTTTGGTTATAAGAAAATAGTGTTTTTATTCATATCACATAGAACCCATGTATGAACAAGAAGATCCATTTAATCCATAGTAATTTCCCTGGAGTGGTAAAAAAAGAAAAAGAAAAAAAAGATTTCAAAGTAACCACTTTGCAAATATCTAATTAAAATTAAAGTTTAAAGCATCGGACCTTACATAACAAGCTATTAAAATGGCACCTCCCAGACTCTCCAGGTTGTATATTTGCTGAACACCCTTTGCCCTCTATAGATGTGTTCCTAAGAAGGAATTATTTTCTTTTATCATCACGTAAAGGTTACACTGGATTCATTCCCCGCTTCACCTGGATTATGGGTGTTAACTATCTCAAGGGAGTTGAAGAAGCCATGAATGAATTTGACATAAATCAGGTAAGTCATGTCCACAACCAGTATGTCAGTAAACTGACGTAGTTAGTGACCCATCTGTAACAGAAAGTTCTCTGTTAAGTTAAGAGAAACAGCCCAGCAAGAGAGCACTGTAGACTAGGCAGGGGGCAGCAGCTCCTGGTTGCTGGGGCACCTGGGATAATTAAGTAATTAGCAGCCAGCCTTGGCAGTCACCTGGCAGGATGTAGGCAGGGGCCTGGGTGCATATAAACCTGGGGCTTGAGCTGGCAAGTCAGGCTAGCCCTGCTTGGTGCATTGGGTCTTCCTACTTTGCTGCCTGCAAGAAGACTTAGGCCCAATGAGCTCACAAAGAGCCATGCTGGGAGGTATGCTGGCCCTAGGATGGAAGATTTGCTCTCTTAAAGGGACAGAGCTGCTTCTACTGTTTCTTAGGGCTGTGTGAAATTTTGATGAGTGTTTCTTTTCAAAGCTGTTTTGGTGCATTTTGAGCTCAAAGCAACAAAATCAAAATGAAACAGAAGGCTTTGAAACAGCTTCAAAATTAAATGAGTTTCGAAGCAGCCTGGTGGTGGGAGGCAGCTGTACTCTGCCTCCTGCTCTGGGCTGAGCTCTGTGGGGCTGGCGCAGCCACTCAGAGCAGAGCTCTGGCTCTTCCCACCTCCCACCTCCAGGCTGAGCTTCATGGGACTGGCAGAGCTGCTTGGAGTGCAGCCCGGCAGCGGGAGGCAGGGAGAGCCAGGGCTGCACTCTGAGCGGCTCCGCTAGCCCCACAGAGCTGAACCTGCCCTCCCAGCACTGCCGGACTCCTCCTGGGGTGCAGGCCCCAAGATCTGCATGTGGGATGACAGGAGGCTGCTACTGCTGCCTGAGGTAGCAGCAGCACCAGTCTTCCTGGCCCTGGGCGCAGGCTGCTCCCACTGCCAGTCCCAGGTGACAGCCTCCTCTCATCCCAAGCACAGATCCGGGGGCCTGCATGCTGGGAGGAGTCCAGCACAACCCCACAGTCCTCCCAGGGGTGAGGTCCTCTAGATCTGCATGCAGGATGACAGGAGGCTGCCGCTGCTGGTAAGTAACATGAGTTTTGCTTGTCAGCACCTTGAGGTGCTATTTCCCAGAAACTCCTGCACCTAGCTCCTTGAAACTTGGCAGGCTTTATGCCATCAGAAGGGGCTACCATCCCTGTAATTTTCATCTGAATCAGGTATGAAATGATAAAGTTATAGGCATTTTCATGATTCCCTGTTATAGCCTATGGGCAAAACGTGAAATTAGCGAAACAGTTTTGACAAAACGAAACAGAATAGTGCTTCAAAACAAAACAAAATGACAAAATGAAACACTGTCCCTTCGAAAAGGCAAAACAGAAGTTGAAACGAAACAGTGCTGTTTTGCACAGCCCTACTGTTTTGCTTGTGTTATAGCCCAGGGGCTTATGTTACAGTTTTCCAAGGTGAATTGGGATGAGGCTATACGGGAAGGAGTAGACTACATTAGTACTCAGCGAGAGCACCACCACAGAGGGGTCGGGGGCCTGGTGCCAGCGAGGGCGCAGTCACAGAGGGCCAAGGGGCCCAGCTACTGGAAGAGACAAGTGAAGCAAGTGCCCCAAAGCCAGGTCCAGCCCAATGGGCCTAGGCTAGAAGGACTAGCTACATTGGTGATGCGTAGCTAGGGGGCATGTGAGTGCACGTGCACCCCCTGAGATTGGCAGTGCATCTCCTCCAATTGGCTGCTGCCATGGCTGCCAGTGGTGCCTGTGGGTGGTCGCCGTTCACCAGCCCCCACTCGCATCTGTGGGTCATCACTGATTGCCTCTGGCCACTGCCAATGCTGCCAGCGGCATCTGCAAATGGTTGTTGACCACCGGTCAGAGCTGCGGCCACCCCCCCCCTTGGGGGTTTGCAATACTTTAAACTCCAATACAACAGTTCTTATGTCTACTAACTCCCTGTGAAACACCACCTTCTTTTTATACTCCACAAAAGACTTAATGGGTGGCTATACATGAGCAATGAGGCTGCTCCAATGCACTGTAATTACAATTAATTGAGTCTGGAGCTTGGTAATTGTCACACTCCAGCAGTCTCATGTATCAGTGTCCCCATGCTTAAAAATGGCAGCAGGGGAGCTTTATCTAAAGCTCGATCGATGCTGCCATTTTGAAGCATGAGGGCCCTGATACATGAGATACTCCAGACACTTCAGTTAGAGCGCCTCTTGGAGCTGCTCAAATTGAAACGCCCCCACACCCAAGCATGTTTATAAACACCCAATGTTTTCCCACCAAGGGTGGGATTAAATTATTTTGGCAAATATTTTATTTGCTAAAAATATTATTTTGGTCAACCCCAAATTATTCATGAATCTGACTTCATAGACATTAGAGCTGGAAGGGACCTCGGAAGATCATTGAGTCCAGCCCCCTGCCCCAAGGGCAAGAAGTCACAGGATAAATGTCCAATTGACTCTTAAAGGAATCCAGAGTAGGAGCATGCACCACCTTTGGTGGCTTTGCCTCTCATCAGTCCATAGACTTCTTAAGTCAGATAGAGCTCATCCACACACATGAGGAAGCTTTGTGACCATTCGGATGTGGTCAAGTGCTCCTCCCATGAGATGTCAGGGTAGTTGAAATCTCCCATGACAACCATGCACCGGGAGTGTGCAGTCTCAGATAGCTCCCTGGCGAATTCCTGATCAAGCTCTTGATCCTGGCTACGAGTTCTGTAGTAGACCCCCATCTTTGTGTCCTCTGTGCCTTGTTCACCATGGATTTTGACCCAGAGAGTCTCCAATTGCCCCCCCAGGTGCCAATGTCAGCTTGCAGGGATGCACAGCTTTCCTTGACATAGAGAGCTCCCCCCCACCGCCCCTTTTGCCTGCATAATCTCTCCTGTACAAGGTATAGCCATCTATACCTGTAGCCCAGTCATAGGTGGAGTCCCACCAGGTCTCTATTATCCCTATGAAATCATAATCCTTTTGGTTTAGCAGGAGGGCAAGTTCTTCCTGTTTGTTCTGCAGGCTCCTGACATGGGTGTACAGGCATGTAAGTGTCCCACTGGGGGCCCTTGCCTTTCCTAAAGATCACTCTGGGGCTTGAGTAGGGTTGGGTTCCCTTGAGTGCTTTAGCCTGCTGGGTTTACAAAAACTGTCCAGTGGGCTTGCAGTGGCAGTACTCCCACTAGCCCCTGGCGGGCTCAGTTTAAAGCCTGGTCGAGCAGGTTAGCAAGTGTAGCTGAGAAAAGACTTCTCCTCAGCAGAGTGATGTGGAGGCCATCTCTTCCTAGCAACCCACAGCCTCCCTCACCAAAGAGTGGGCTGTGATCGTGGAAGCCAAAGCATTCATGATGACACCAGCGCCACAGTCCCTGGTTGACCACCTCAACCCATCTCTCCCTCCTCAGCCCATGACCCACAACCAGAAGGAGGAAGGAAAAGACCACCTGCACCCCCAACTCCCTAAGCCCCACTCCCAGAGCCCTGTAGTCTGTCATGACCCGGCTGGTATTGCTCCAAACCGAGTCATTCGTGAGCACATGGATAAGGAACATAGGGTAGTGGTTGGAGGGCTGGAGAATCTTTGCGACCCTCTCAGCTATGTCCCGGATGCGGGCCCCCGGGAAGTAGCAGACCTCCTGGACGAGGGGGTTGAGGCAGCAGATTCCCCCTCAGCCCCTCTCAGGGAGGAGTCTCCTACAACGAGCACTCTGCGTTTCATCTTAGGGAGAGTAGGGGTGGGTGATCCTCCCTTGCCTGCAGGAGCTGGCATCTCTGCAGGTCTACTGGGGCTGCAAGCTGATTGTACCTGTTGCAAAGCCCCAGAAGGGAGGGGACCTTGGTGCAGTGGGCCTTGGAGCCCTTGACCACCTTGGTTCCAACCCCTTAGCTGGACTGTACAGGGGATTCCCAAATCCTCCCTTGTCCTGGAAGGTGACCGTGGTCTATCCTCTGCCTCCAGGGGGTGGAGGGCCTGGCAGTAGGAGTCTATCTCCTGCTCACCATCCCTGATGGCACGCAGTTTCTGGACTGCGGCCTGGAGCTCCTTTATCTGGTGCCCCAGAGACTCCAAAGTGGAGCAAACCCCGCAAGGGGAGGTGGCTATGTTCCTGGTCCCATGAGCCTGGAAACGTGCCAGGCAGCCCCCGCAGCCAAAAACCAGGGGCTCCGTCTGCGTGGAGCCCAGAACCATGGGCTCTGTCTGGGTGGAGACCTCTGAGGTGCCAGAGGGGGAGGCCGCAGACTCCAACGGGACCCTTGGGGTACAGCGTGTGCCCATCCGCGTCGTGCCGCTGGGAGGCTGGCTACTGATGGGACTAGCTTCCCTAGGGCTCACTGACAGGGCCTTGGGCCCTCCCACTTACCCTCCTGAGCAACTTCCTGCATTGCGCGGCCTGTTCATGAGGCTCCAGTTGCGTGGCTCCCTGGGGGGCTGGGCAAAGTAGGAGCTGGGGCAGGCGAGATCCTCTTCAGCTCCTCTCAGCTGCTCCTTGCAGCTGATCTACACTAGCCCCTCCCTCCATGGGCCCTGCTTATCTCTGGCTGTGCTGGGGGTCGTGAGCCCTTTTAAACTGTGTGCATGCACAATGGGCCTGCTGCCAGCACCATGCTGCTCCTGAGCAAGGGGGGGCCCTGCCTGGGGATTTGGGAGACCCTGCCCCACCGGAGAGGAACTGGTAGGAACCCTCTTCCCCTCTTCACTTTCCCTGGGGGGGCTGGGCAAAGTAGGAGCTGGGGCAGGCGAGATCCTCTTCAGCTTCTCTCAGCTGCTCCTTGCAGCTGATCTACACTAGCCCCTCCGTCCACGAGCCCCGTTTACCTCTGGCTGTGCCAGGGGTCGGCAGGGTGCTTGGCAGCTGCTGGGGGTCGCTGGGGGGAGCTTTGGGGTGCGGGGGTGTGACAGGCCTTCACCCGTGTGTCTCAGACCGCTCCTGGGGCCAGTTTGGTTAGAATACATAAAAAAATTTCAGCTGGAAAAAATGGGTTAAAAGGAAACCAAATGGAAAAGATTAAACACTTAA